TTGGCTCCTTTGTCAAAGATGAGGTGGCTGAGAATGTCTGGAGTAGCTTCTGCATCTTCTAATCTATTCCACTGATCCTCAGGTCTGTTTCTTTGCCAGTACCATGCTGTTTGTATCATAGTAGCTTTGTAGTATAGTTTCAAGTTGGGGATTGTGATTCCCCCAGCCACGTCTCTGTTGCCCAGAATTGTTTTTGCTATTCTAGGTCTCTTCTGGTTCCAAATGAATTTTTGGATTGTTTTCTCTAGTTCTGTGAAATATCTTGTTGGGATTTCAATTGGCATTGCATTAAATCTATACAACAATTCTGGAAGTATAGCCATTTTCACTATAATGGTTCTTCCTACCCAGGAACAAGGGATATCTGTCCATTTTCTTTTTTTCTTTTTTTGGTACTGGGGATCGAACTCGGGTCCTTGCACTTGCACAGCAGGCGACGAAACCACTGAGCTAAATCCCCGGCCCTGTCCATTATCTTATAGCCTCTTCAAGCTCTTTTTTCAGAATGCTGTAGTTTTCAGCGTAGAGTTCTTTTGCTTCCTTTGTTAGATTGATTCCTAGATATTTCATTTTTTTGGATACTATTGTAAAAGGAATTGTTTCTCTAATTTCTCTGTCAGTGAGTCTGTTATTTGTGCATAAGAAGGCTATTGTTTTTTTTGAGTAAAGAGAATTAAAAAGGGATACTGTAAAACAATAAATAGGGAATAAGCATTAATAGGTAAAAAAATTTGGGGGGTCAATATGTAAATTGTAAGGTTTAAAGGAATGTCTTACTAGTTATTTCAGTCCTTTTCTTCTTGGTCAACCAAACTGTTTTTTGAGACACAGTCTTGTTATGTAGTGCTGACTGACCTTGAACTCACTATGTAGCCCCAGCTGACCTTAAATTTGCAGTGATCCTCCCGCCTCAGCCGCTCATGTGCTGGGATCACAGGTGTACACCACCGCACTCACTACCTAGAAACTTCTAATGTCTCCTCAGATTCCTCTGGCTGCCTTTTTTTCCCTATCTCCTACTCCACTGCTGCTGACTTTGTCCAACATCCTGGGTTGGCTGGATTCCAAATGGAAGTAACCATGTCTGTTTAATCTGTTGCCCCTTTCATCATCCAGAGCTGGATACAATGCCACACCACTGAGCAGAAGATCTGGCTTCCTGAGCAGGTACCAAAAGACTGGATGACATAGCCCTGTGGGGAAACTACAAGCAATAGTTCATGGGCACTAGAAGGAGGTAGGATTGTCAGACTAAATGAAAAAGAATATGAAGCTGAGTGTGGTAGTGGACACCTCTAATCCTAGCACTCTGAGAGGCATAGGAGGCAAAAAGATTGCAAGTTCAAGCCCAGCAAGGGCAACCTGGTGAGATCCTGACTCAATCAATCAATCAATCAAATAAAAGGGCTGAGGCTATAGTTCAGTGCAAAGCCTCTGGGTTCAATACCTAGTAACATGCACACACACACACGCACACACTATGACATAAAAATGTATCTATTTGAACATATTTAAAATATATTAACATATTGAGAAGTTTCAATAAAGAAACTAAAGGCCAGAACCGTCTTAATCACCATTTCTATTTCTGCACTTTTTTCCAGTGTTGGTGACTGAACACAGGGGCTTGCACGTGCCAGGCAAGCACTCTACCACTGAGCTACAATCCTAGGCCCCATTTCTGTAATCTTCAACAGTCCAAGATTTTTCTCTACATTGTGGAAAGGGAAGCTCCTTGGGCATAATTAAAATATTCACCTAACTTCATCAAGTATGCAAATGATACTTGGGGAAAGAGTTGAAGCTGTAGGATGTCTCTAGGTCAGTTCTAGAAACTTTAAAAGGTGACCACTCAAGGTCTTGTCTCTAAGCCAGGTAGGAAGAGGCAGAACACTTGGACAATGTTAAAGGTATTTCCTGCACGTCACTGCTACCTCTGTTGACAGAGAAAGGAGAAGACAGCAGCTGCCAGGTTACCTGTAACCATAATTTGTTTCCACATAAAGAACCGCTCAGTCTAGGCTCAAGAACTAGGAATCCTAACAGAAACACTCATCAATTTCATCACTGTATGTGTTTGTTAAAAAGTGTGAATTCTGGGACAAGGATTTAGCTCAGTGGTGCCACCACCTGCCTTGCAAGCACAAGGTACCTGGTACCCCACCCCCACCCCCACAAAAGTGAATTCCTAGGCTTCAGCCAAGATTTACTGAATAAAATCTCTAGGACAGAATTACATCATCCTTACTGATAATGTCTTTCACTAAGAATTCTTACTTATAGGATCATAATTTCAATGGTGAAACTCAATCTAGAGTGACTAAAGTTTACAGATACAAAATATACAGTAGACACTTTTGTTATGGATCAGAAGCTTTATTCACTTTCAACAGGGGGGCAAACCTAGAAGAGTTCTACCAATAATGATATAGTTGCACTGGACCTAAAACATAGACCTTATCACCTAGTTTTCCCCGGTGACCCAGATTAGGAAAGTGGAAGAGGATAATTAAATACTTCCCATCTGACATGGTGTCACACGCCTGTGATCCCAGCACTCAAAGGCTAAGGCAGGAGGATTGCTAGGCATTTGAGGCCACCCAGTGAGTCAAAGCCAGGGTGAACTACATAGCAAGACTGTCTCACAAAAATTTTAAAAAATAAATACTTCCTGGGGATGAAACTCAGAGAGGTTCAGAATGAGACATTTCAACTTTGAATTCATTCACCCTAACTATACAATAAAACCAGACTCACATAACAACCAACCAAAATGTTGGAATTAGCCATACTCCATTATGTAAGACATTTAAAAGCAACAGGTATGGCACATAAAGGAGGTGAAGACCTTTTCCCACTGTATTGGAATCCTAGTGTTATTTAAGCCTTGAAGCCCTGTTACCACACAGAGGAGAGGTATGAACCAAGCTTCTAGGTGACTCCTGCCTGCGAAGCTGTATCTGGACTCCACCCACGAGCGCTTGACAAACCCCTACTACAGGCTGCCTTTCCCTTTAATCCTCTTCGGGTGAACTGGGGCCCAGGGTGGTGTGGCAAGCTAGTGAGTTTGCATGTTTAACCTAAAAGCCCCCTGTTGGCACAGCCACAAATAAATTCAGATGTATTAATTTTATAATTGAACTCCGAAGAATTTTAAGAACAAAAAGAACACTCTTGTGGATGTAGCAGTGTATCATTTCGTATGTATTAAATTTTCATAACTATTACTTAATTTCTATCTTATAATTTGTACTTAAAGTCTTCTTACACTAGATTAATGAATTACAATAAATCACAAACATTTAATTTACTTCAATTACAGTTTATGTGCTGCCAAAGCAAGTACCAATTTATTTCAATTATAAAACAAGGGCATTATCACATCAATTTCATCATTACAAATAATTTACACATAATAATGCATAAGGACTTTAAACACATGACTCCAAATAATACAAAACCAAATTAGTTGAATGAAACACTGCTGAATTGTAGGCGTTTTTGTGACAGGAAACAAAAAATTTAACAAAATATATTTTCTGAGTGAAAGTTTTTTTTTTTTCAGGACATGAGCAGCTTTCCACTGCTCCTCTGTCATGCTGTCCTGGAGTCACTGGATTGTAGACTAAAACCTTTCTTTTGTGGATGTTGGGTATTATGTACCAGGGATGAGAAAAGTAACTAAGATAGGAGAGAGGTTCATTTGACTCATGGCTTCACAGGATTCAGTCGATGGTTGGCTAGCTCCATTAGCAAAAGTTTCTTAAATCAGATTTTTCTCTTAAACTGTTGTTCATATTTTGTTTGTTTTTTAGGGGTATCAGGAATCCAACTCAGGACCTTGTGCTTGCAAGGCAAGTATGGTGCCAGTGAGCTAAATTCCCAGCCCCTGTTGTTTATATTTTAATTGGAGCTTCTTCTAAAGAATCATTTTACTTATAGTCACAAATATCTTTCTTTTTTTTCTTTTGAGACAAGTTCTCGCTATGTAGTTCATACTGGCCTTGAACTTACTATATAGCCCAGGCTGACCTTGAACTCACAGTGATCCTACCTCAGCCTTCTGAGTACTAGAATTACAGATGTGCACCACCACACCCAGCACAAATTTCTTTTTAACACACAATGTGTATTCATACTGCAATCAAATACCTGAAGGAGTTGGAATCTTTTTTTTTTTGGTACCGGGGATCGAACTGGGATCTTATGCTTGCGAGGCAGGCAGCGGAACCACTGAGCTAAATCCCTGGCCTAGGAGTTGGAATCTTATGAATACAGCCAGGACAACAGTGGAGAGAGTCATGAACAAACACATCACAGTCCACACAGAACACATTCTGGCACTCAGCGCAAACATAGACCTGTAATACAAAGAAAAAAAGGAATCAATAAAAGACGGGTCTAAAAACTAAGCACAGTCAGAAGACATTCATGTTGCTTTGCTCTTTATTATATCTCAATCAAGTTTCCCAACCCACCTTTTACTATCTATACTCAGATCTAAGGTGATTTCTTTTCCCCCTAAACTATACTTTGGAAATGAGGTAATGACCTTGGTTTTGAGTCCTCAAAGTCAATTTATTATAACATACTCTCGGTTACTTCATTTAAGTAACAATGTAGAGAAGTCACAAGAGCAAAAATCAGTGCTACCTCTGAATGCTTAGAGGTCCAAGGAAAAAAAGCACAAAAATTTAACATGGGTTTAGTTATTTTCAGAGAATGGCCTCACAACTGAAAAAATTACATTCCTCTTTCAACTAAGCTATTAAGGAATAGGTCAAGTGACACATATAAGATAGATAAAAAGAAAAAGTTCATGATTCTACCAGCATTACCTACATGGATATCTGCACCCTGGGATAAAACCTGGGCAACAACACACAGAGGTTCAAAAAATCACTAAATCTAAAACAACACAGAAGTAAAGATGATGTGTTCTTTTGTTTTGTTTTTTGAGACAGGGTCTCATTATGTAATCCAAGCTGGCCTTGAACTTGTGGCGATCCTCCTGCCTCAGCATTCTAAGTGCTGAGATTACAGACATGTGCCACCACACCTGGCTAGATGATGTTCTTAGAAACTGTCAAAAAATTCAAAAAGTGGTTCTAGTGAGGATGAAGCTACTGATGTCAAAGAGAAATGTAAAACAAGGTTTTTTGTGGGGTTTTTTGCAGTGTTAGGGATCAAACCCAGTGTCATACACATTAAGTAGGCTTCCTACCAGTGAGCTACACCCATAGTCCCAAGGAATGTAAAATTTAATAAAATTCTTTTATGAAACATGAAAGTGGAATAAACAAGCAATATTTGTTTTGTTTTGTTCTGGTGCTAGAGATTGAACACAGGATCTTAAGACATAGACTAAGCATGAGCTCTACCACTGAGCTACACTCTCAGCCCCTAATCAAGCAATACTTCTAATTAATATTTGGTATGCTTTATAAAGTACATTTTAAAATATGGAAATGTGAGTAAATATTAAAAATAGGAGCCGGGAATTTAGCTACCTAAATTGGTTCTGCCGCCTACCTCCCAAGCACAAGGTCCCTAATTCGATCCCCAGTACCAAAAAAAAAAAAAGACATGATATTTGCATCTGTAGAATTTTTTGTTTTAGTTTGGTTTTTTTTTTGGTACCAGGGATTGAACTCGGGACCTTGTGCTTGCAAGGCAGGCTGCAGAACCACTGAACTAAATCCCTGGCCCTGCATCTACAGAATTTTATATCATCAAATTGGCTATCTTCAAAGAAATTCTTTTAAAATTCTGTTGTGGTTGCTTGAGATGGGGTCTTACTATGTTGCTCAGGCTAGCCTCAAACTCCTGGGCTCAAGTGATCCCATTTCAGCCACCTGAGTACCTGGGACTACAGCCATGCACCACTGCACCTGGGTCTCTATTCAAAATTTTAAAAAATATTTTCTAATGGAAACAATTTTTTATCAGTGGCCACTTTAAATGATAACTTCAGAAGGAATTATAATGGGGATGGGGATGTAGCTAAATAGTAGAGTGCTTGCCTAGTGTGAGGTAGGCCCTGGGTTCAATCCCTAGTAACAAAAATGAAACAAAACACTTTAAATAAACAAAAGCAATTTAGCTTGAAAACCGAAGACAAAGCACTAAGTATTGTCATAGCAAAATGAGAATGCAGAATTACAAAATTACTATTTAAATTATTTTGTTCTCGCTTTACATCCAGTAGCTAGTGTAACTGTATTTATAGGAAATAAGCTGATATAATCTTGGTCTTCAATAACCTACTGAAAGCTTGTCATAGTATAAGATTTTCAAGATTTTTTTTACATAACTTAATAATTAGAAAGTCAAAGACTCACATGTTGGTCCTTCAGTTGCCCCTGACATCCATAACAAAATCTGAAAGAGAAAGTTTGAGAATCACTCTTTAAAAAAAAGAATTCACTGGGCCAGGGATTTAGCTCAGTGGTTTTGCCGCCTGCTGTGCAAGCGCAAGGACCCGAGTTTAATCCCCGGTACCAAAATAAATAAATAAATAAAATAAAATAAAATTTAAAAAGAATTCACTAATTCAAATAATTCAGGGCCAAGGATTTAGCTTAGTGGTCCTATGCCTGCCTCAAAAGCACAAGGTCCTGAGTTCAATCCCTGGTACCAAAAAAACCCCCCAAAAACCAAAAAAACAAAGTTCTCTGTTTAGTACTGAAAACAGAGGTCCCCTACCTCCCCTCCCCATTTCATTTCCAGCTCCCCAGAGACACTTTCAAAACTTTTAACTGTATGCCAGGTGTGCTGGTGCACACCTGTAATCCCAGCACTTGAGAAGCTGAAGCAGGAAGATTGCTGTGAGTTCAAGGCCAGCCTGAGCTATACATTGAGTTCAAGGCCAGGCTGAATTACAGAGTGAGACTCTGTCTCAAAGAACCAAAAAACAAAACAAAACAAAACTTTTAACTGTGTGATAGTTATTTATGCTTGTATAAGTGCTAACTCTTGGCTCTTTATGAGTATTGGCTCTGAGCCTCCAACTATGGAAGACAAGAATTTAATTCTTTCAACCTTCCTAAACCAATAGTGCATACATGTAAACTAATGTCATTCTCTTCTTTCTCTATAAGTCATTATTTTGGATAGATCAATATTCAATGTTTAGTTTATGATGCCTATATAATAAATATTCTCAGTTGTAACATGTAGTAAGTTGTAACTTTTTCTCTCTTTAAACATTTTTTTCCAGGGATTAACTGTGTCCCTAATCTCAAACTCTCCTAAATAATTAACACTTAATTCAGCCCCAATCTTTCCCTGAATAGTATAAATATGTTCCCAGCACATTCGACTCTTGGAAATTCTACAATTTCCACTCTCTCAATGATATCTATCCTGGAGCATTCTGGCTTTCTCCAAATGGAACTGACTCTTCTTTATATATGACACACCAGTGCCATTCTGAATTTCTTCTGACCATCATCCTATGGTTTCCTATTTTGGATTAAATAAATATTCCTAGATCCCTAAGATCTTCTCTTTCTTCGTTCCTCTGAATCACCTACCTCTTCCAAAGTATCCCCAGAAAGTCTCTTTTCGAGACCTTATACAAGTCTGAAAATGTCTTTCTTCCACCCACACTTACCTGACAGCTTTGCTGGGTATATATCTAAGCTGTAATATTTTCACTCCAAAGTCTGAATGTAAAAGTTCTCTGTCAGCGAATGGATAAAGATGTGTTTTTTTATACAATGGAGTACTACTCTGCCATAAAGAAGGATGAGCTTTAGACATTTATAACTAAATGGATGGACCTTGAGACCACACTTTTTTTTTGTTTTGTTTTTTGGGTACCTGAGATCGAACTCGGGTCCTTGCACTTGCGAGGCAGGTGGCGGAACCACTGAGCTAAATCCCCAGACCCTATACTCTTAAGTGAAATGAATCAAACACACATGTTTAAATACTATATTGTTTCTCTGGTGTGAGAAACTGAAAGTTAAAATAAGGACTAAAATGTATAAAGATATTGTGAAAATGGAAAGAAAACATTCAAATGGGAAGGGGAACAAGGGAGGAGGGAGGGATAAAGGAAAGAAGGGAAAAAAGAGATCTCTGTCAGGGCTGGGATATAGACTTCCTGACTATGTGGAAAAGCACAGCACTTCTGAGGCAAGACAACATTCTGCTGAGAACAATATAAAATACAGGCATCCAAGTGTAGAAAAGGACCTTAACTTACTCCCTCTGAGATGCCAAACTTGTTCCTTATCTTACTACCCTAATCTTACTACAGTCACTGTTCCTAAAATAGTATACTAACCCCTCCCTTGCACTTCTTGCTAAACAATAAAAGCGGGTCCACCATAAAACTTTTCAAAGCCTGTCCACTAAGATAGATTGCTCTCAGTCCTCCCTTACAAATTGAATATTGTCTCTGTCTCTTTCTTTGATTCCCTGTCATCCTCCCAACAGGTTTTCAGGGATCTGATTAGCTCCCTAGAAATAGAAAATTTCCTTGAACTGTTTCTTTGATTATCTCCTACTCTATATTTTCTCTTTTCTTTGTTTCTCACATTATTCTGAATTTGGACATTTTGGATAAATCTATCAGTTTTCTTATCTTTACTTTCCTGTATTTACTTCTTCATTTTATGCCATTTATTCTACTTTCTAGAATATTTCTTCAACTCTATCTTATAATCTGAAATCTGTCTACTAGGTTTTTCATTATCCTCAACCATAAGAAAATAAATGCAGGGCCGGGGATTTAGCTCAGTGGTTTTGCCACCTGCTGCGCAAGCACAAGGACCTGAGTTCGATCCCCGGTACCAGAAAAAAAAAAAAGAAAAGAAATGCAAGGGCTGGGAATTTAGCTCACTGGTTCTGCCGCCTGCCTCGCAACCACAAGGTCCCGAGTTCAATCCCCAGTACCAAAAAAAAAAAAGGAGAAAGGAGAAAATAAATGCAAGTTAAAACAATGAGACTTGTTTAACTTGGCCAATATAAAAAACTTTCATAATTCTAATATTGGTGAAGTTACTGTAAGCAAAAAACAAAACTTCTTTAAAAGACAACTTTACAACATCTATTACATCATTTTTTGTTTTGTTTTGTCTCTTTGAGACAAGGTCTCACTATACACTGCACACTGGTCTTGAACTCACTATGTAGCCCAGGCTGGCCTCAAACTCATGGTGATCCTCCAGCCTCAGCCTCCCAAGTACTGAGATTATACTGATTTTCACCACCATGCCTGACTTAAAATTCACATAACTTTTGATTCAGCAATTTTACCTCTAAGAATCTGTCATGCATTTATAACACAAAGTCAAAGATATAAACATTATTTGTTAAAACTTTATTTGTTAATAACAACTGGTTATATAAACCATGACACATCCAAGACACACACAATTTCAAAACAATACTCATCTAGGTGTGCTTATAGGAAATAACTTCCAGATGGGTTTTTTTTTGTTGTTTTTTTTTTGAGCCAGGGACTTTCTAGGTAATCCTGACTGGCCTGGAACTCAAGATTCTCCTGTCTCAGTCTCCTAAGTGCTGGGATTACGGCATGCGCTACCATACCTGGCTATAGTACATCACTCCTACTACAAAGAGGTGAAGGTAAGGAAATTAACAGATTTCTGGAGACCCAGATCTGTTTAACAACTAAGTCATTTCAGTCATAACCAAGAAATCCCACCCACCTTCTGTGATACTGGGGATTGAACCCAGGGGTGCTCTACCATGAGTTACATCCCCAACCCCTTTCTTTTCTTTTCTTTTAAATTTTGAGACAGGGTCTCACTAAGTTGGTTAGAACGTCCTCAAACTTGCAATTCGCTGCCTCAGCCTCCTGAACAGCTAGGTTTATAGGAATGCACCACTATGCCCACATGGATCTCATTTTCTGGATGAGAAGTACTCTTACTTGAATTAATAACTATCTTTTGTAAGGTAGTGACAATGTACTCAAACATTAGTTCACCATTAGGAAGAGATATAAATTAATCAAAACTCATACCTTTCTCCTTTATATTCTTCCAGGGTCATTTCTTGAAAAGCATCCAAAGGAAATAAATGATGGTAAGACCGTGCCAAGTGGGGAGCAGAGACCAAAGTAAGACCTAATACACAAATAGAAACATGTTTAATAAGCCAGACTTCATAAAGACAATAGCTGAAAAGCTGAATGCTATAACTCAGGCTAAATACTTTTTTTTTTTTTGGTACCGCGGATCGAACTTGGGACCTTGCGCTTGTGAGGCAGGCAGCAGAACCACTGAGCTAAATCCCTGGCCCTGGGCTAAATACTTTCATGTGTTTTTAGTGGAGTTTTGTTTTTTGCAGTGCTGGAGGCAGAAGTCAGGCCTTGCTGCAGGCTAGGCAGGTCCTCCGCTGCTGAGTTACATCCCCAGCCAGCAAGTGGCATCAGAACTGTAAGTGCTCATCTCTCATTTTACCTGGGCCACAGAAGGAGGTTCCAGGATGGAGTCAATTCTGTTATTACACATGTGACTTCTCTTGGCCTATTTCCTTACTTACAAATAAAATAAACTTTACTACAATGTTACATTTATTCTTGGAAATGTAGTACTGGACATTCAAGAAGAAAAGTAATCTATTTCTCTTTGGAAACAGTAAACCCACACCAGGCCTGGTGGCACACACCTATAATTTAGCACTCTGGGAGAGTCAGGCAAAAAATTTGAGCCCAGCCCAGGCAACTTAGTGAGACCTTGTCTCAAAACAAAAGTATAAAAAAAAGGATAGGGATGTAGGTCAGTGCAAAGACTCTGGGATCAAGCCTCAGTACCACATATATACATACATATATACATACATACATACATATATACATACATATCTGGAAATGAAGGTGGAACTCAAACATTTACATTTCTTACATTTTTACCAATAATACAGATAAGAGGTTATTTTAAATTAATTTACTCAATAATGAATAATTGGCTTCTTACCACATATTTTACATTCAACAGGAAGCTCACAGTACTTTGCCCGACATTGTGGGCAGAAATAGCCTCCTAATGTAAGCCCTGGCTCAGAACTGTTATCCAGGTGCCTGTGGGGGGGGAAAATTATTTTAAACATGATGTATATAAAAATGTAAAAAACTAGAGCTAAAGTATGTTATAAAACACTGGATTCCATTTCAAAAATTTTAAATTTTATTTGAAAGTATGTGAGTATGTCATTTAGGTTATTACCCTTCCCCCTTGTCTTTTTTCATTTCCAAATTTTTTTTATTTTTTTGTTTTTATTGAGACAGGGTCTTGCTATGTAGTTCAGGCTGGCCTCAAACTCTATGATCTTCCTGCCTCAGCCTCCCAAGTGCTAAGAGTACAGGCATGCATCACCACACTCGGCTGTTTGACGTGTTTTGTCTAGAAGAGTAACTCTAGTCCTTGTTAGACCTTTAATCGCGGGAGGCAGAAGTCTTGCCTGTGACTTTGAAAAATCACTTTCTTAAATTTAATTTCGTTTTATAATTATGTAAAGTATAAAGCACTCAAGTTCAAACAAGTTATATTCAGCAAAGTCTAGGTTCTATCATTTTTGCCTTTCCCTACACACCCACTAATGCAAACATTCTTTAGTTTTTTAACTTCCTATTTCCATTACTATTATTTTTATTATGAGCACAATTGTGAATATCTACTCACATCTTCTTTTTTGATAGCTGGTAGCATATTACACACTTCTCTCTACCATACCACTGTACTTAGTAATATTTCCTGAAGACTACACCATAGAAATGTACTATATATCATCATTCTCTTTTTTTTTTTCTGGTACTGGGGCTCGAACTCAGGACCTTGCACTTGTGAGGCAGGTGTGCATGGTGCCACTAAGCTAAATCCCTGGCCCTCATCATTCCTTTGTATGGCTACATAAAAGGTAATTTTTAATTAAAAGCCATATTTCAAGCCCATCTATTAATTTATAACTCAGAGTAATGAATTTAAATGTTAAAATATTACTGGTCTTTACTTACGCCATGCTGAAAGAAGGTTTTGCATCTTGATCAGACAAAGAAGCAATGGTATGCTGAGGAAATCCTTCATAGGAAAAAATGTATTAATTTCTCTTTCCAAGCAAAAAGCAGAATTCTAGGAGTAGGAACCTAAAAATGTTCTTACCAGAGGGCCAACAAAGTTGTACAAAAGCATTTTTCCACCTCATATATATATATAAATATATATTTATATATATTTATATATATATTTCATATATATATGTATTTATATATATATTTCATATATATATGTGTGTGTGTGTGTGTGTGTGTGTGTGTGTATATATATATATATATGCTTATTATGGTATATGAAACTGACTGTAACTCCACTCTACAAAAATAGTAGAGGTGGGCCGGGGATTTAGCTCAGTGGTTTCACCGCCTGCTGCACAAGCGCAAGGACCCAAGTTCAATCCCCAGTACCAAAAAAAAAAAAAAAAAAAAAAAAAGTAGAGAATGAAGGAAAGAAAGTAGAGGAATGACCTCAGATTCTAAAGTTCTTATCTATATATATACATATTTTTTGGTACCAGGGATCGAACTCGGGTCCTTGCGCTTACACAGCAGGCGGCAAAACCACTGAGCTAAATCCCTGGCTCTGTATTTTCTGTTTTGTTTTTTTGTTTTTTGGTTTTTTTGGTACTGGAGATCAAACTCGGGTCCTTGCAGTTGCAAGGCAAGCGGCAGAACCACTAAGCTAAATCCCTGGCCTATATTTTCTGGGTTTATTTTTTGTACTGGGGATCAAACTCAGGTCCTTGCGCTTGCGAGGCAGGCGGCAGAACTACCAAGCTAAGTCCCCGGGCCTATATTTTCTATTTTTAAGACAGGGTCTCTTGGTTTGGAGTGCAGGCTGACTTCAAACCTGAGGTGATCCTCCTGCCTCAGCCTCCTGAGTGCTGGGATTATAGGCATGTGGCACCACGCCCAGCATTATTTATATTTTCTACTTTAATAACAGTTTTTTTGTGTGTGTGTATGGTGCTGGGGACTGAACTCAGGGCCTTCACACTGAACTACATCCTCACCCCTTTATTTTGAGATGGGTCTTGCTAAGTCACTAGGTTGCCTTGGTTGGACTCAAATGTGCAATCCTCTTGCCTTAGCCTTCAAGAGTGTTGGCATTACAGATATGTGACACCATGTGTGGCAAAAAAAAAGAAAAGAAATTCTCAAATTTTAAAATGATAACTTGTGTAAGTGAAAAACAGAAATCCTAGTATGGGACTGGGAATTTAACTCAGTGGTCCCGCCGCCTGCCTCACAAGTGCAAGGTCCTGAGTTCAATCCCTGGTAACAAAAAAAAAAAAAAAAGAAAAAAGAAATTCTAGTATGAACAGAAATATGGATTTAGAAAATAACATAAAATACATACCCATACGAATAAGTGAGCATTCAGAACTTGAGCTGGCAGGAGGAGGACTAACATGATGTGTTAGCAATTCTTTGTAATGGCTTTCATCTAAAATCACATGGTATGTGCCTAACAAGAAACAACAGCTTTACAGACGTAAGAACAGATTACCATTTTTATGTAATTTTATAAAAGCTTTAAGATCTAAAAATGTACATTTTCAAAATTAAGATTTTAGCTAAACTATCACTTTTAAAAACTTTATCTCTAAATCAGTATTTCTAGGAATAGTAATTGCAGTTTGATTAAAGCCAAGTTATAAAATCTTTACAAAGTATTACATAGAGTAAAATTTCTAGCCTTTCAAGTTATAGTGTTTTCTCTAAACACTGACATTACTGAAAGTTCCTTCCACTTTGAGGTAATTTCTTAAAGAAACAATATATTTAAGATGACTCCGTAGACTATGGGATATGAAATAATTCAGATTGAGTGGTTCAAGCCATCCTCGTTAATAATCCTGACACAATGACTATGAATAAACAATGAACACAGTAGACACACACCACCGGTTTCCCGAGCGAGTGCAGTGCAAACCCGAACCTCAGCAGACAAACCAATGACAGACACTCTGATTTTAGCTGCTTTCAGGGTCTTCATCAAATCCAAGAAAATGAAAGATTTTAAGGAAAGAAGAAAAATATTTGAGAATTAATGTACTTGAAAAATAATGCTTTGAAAACCACTGATAAATTCACTACAGAACTCTCTTTAGAGATGTAATTTTAGGTTTTTTTGTGGCACCAGGGATTAAACCCAGGGCCTTTACCCTGAACTACATGCCCAGGGACCCTTTTTCAAAAATTTTTATTTTTTACAGCATTTTAAGTTATTAGTACATGAATATAGTACAGAATGTTTACACTCCTTGTGGGAAGTTGGTACATGTACATAGATATCTTAATTCCTTTTTTCACTCCCTTTCCCTTCCCTCCCTCCCCTTTAAAAAAATTTTATTTATTTATTTATTTATTTATTTATTTATTTATTTATTTATTTATTGAGACAGGGTCTCACTATGTAGTTCAGGCTGCCCTTGAACTCACTGTGTAGCCCAGGGTGGCCTCGAACTCATGGTGATTCTCCTGCCTCCCAAGTGCTGGGACTACGGGCATGCACCATCACACCTGCCAAAAATATTTATTTTGAGACAGGGTCTTGCTAAGCCACTAAGTTGTCTGGGCTGAGCTCAAACTTGCCATTCTCCTGCCTCAGCCTCTTACAGTACTTGGGATTATAGTATGTGCAAGCATATGTTGCTATAACTTCAGTTGTGATGTATTGGTCCTACCTTAATTAAATCATAAATATTGGATGGATCACAAGTTGTAAGGCTGCTAAAGATGATGAGGACTTCTCTACTTGTATGTCCAGGCATGTGTCTAAAGAAGTAATAAAATGCACTCCAATTAGTTATAGCAAATTAACCACCAAAAAAATGTATCTAGAAGGAACAGTACACATGGTTTATACATTTAAATTCATTTAAACTATAGACTACCTCGTTTGTTTCAATACTGCAGGGGAATGAATTGAGTACACTTTAAACACTTTAATGTAAATTTTTTTCCTCTTTTTCAACGCTGATGATGGAGCCCAAGCCTCAAGCATGACAGGCAAGTGATCAACCACATAGCTATGACCCCAAACCTAATATACATTTTTCAAAAATAAGCCATATACTTTTTTTTTTTGGTACTGGGCATCGAACTCGGGTCTTTGTGCTTGTGTAGCAGGCAGCGAAACCACTGAGCTAAATCCCTGGCCCAAGACATATACTTTTTAAAAAATTATTCATGGAAATACATATTTACAGAGTTATCTCAAGTTCTGGGGAGAGAATGATAAATGATACTGGGTCCCTGAGATCACAAAGCTTATAGTTCAGTAGGTTTATTTCATACAAAGTCTAAAGTGTACAATGAGAAACATGACTGTACAGCAGGGGTCAACTTTAAGGTCTGCACATGCGGCTTAATAATAGTAACACACTTCAGTTCGATCCCCGGTACCAAAAAAAAAAAAATAGTAACACACTTCTTTCTTAAAGACTGTAACTTAATCTTCTGATAATTTAGTCTTAATAATCAAATCTTAATTAAATGATGACTCCATGAGGGATGAAGACGTGTAAGCTGTTTCTCTGATGCTAGGAAGGGATTTCTATACTTTTTGGAGCAAGTTTACCAGTTACTTATAGGTTTCATTGTTATCCTCTCTACTCATACTTGTAGATACTGCTGAAGAGCTTACTTTTATAATCTGTGTTACTATAATCTGTGTTACCTTCTCATCTACTTCAAAACTAGAGGAATATCTACTATATAAAAGCATAAGATCTAAGATAAGACAGCCTATCCAGAGATGCTCTCAAAAGTATGAGCTTTAACTACATTATTTCCTTTGGGGTTTTGGTATATTCCACACAGTTGGGACTTTCAGGGAAAGTGCGCTATTAATTTTTAGACTATTACCAAACAAGTTAATAAATGTCAATAAAGATACAACCAACTCTGATTATACCATACTAAATTCCACATATAATCCCCACACCCCTTTGGCAGTACTGTAACTGAGACATGAACCCAGGGCCTTCATACTGAGCTATATTCCCCAGCCTCCACTTGCTTTCTGTGAGACATGATCTTTAGTTCCCCAGGTTGAGCTCAAACTTGCAATCTTCCTGGCTCAGCCTCTCTGAGGCTGGGAATTATGGGTGTGCACTGCCACACACTGTTAGTTTTACCACTTATCTATTTTGTTATAACTGGTTTTATAGAGACTCCTATTAACATACTACCATTTCAATTAATTTTTTTCAATTTTTAAATTTTTTTTTCATTTCAATTAATTTTTTAAAACTTCTCAATCAACTATCAGTAAAAAATGTAAAATACTAACTTCAGAGTCTGCATGGCCATGCTTAAGGAATTATAAAGAGATGGTTCTCCATGACAGGTCATATCTACAGCTTTCTTCAAAGACGTTATGTGTTTCCTTGGGTTTCCTTCAATTAAATGCAAGAATTTACTTTTAATAAAATGCTGTACATACAAAACAAAAATGTATGCTTCTTCCAAAATTTACATATCTATTCAAGAACAAAATGTCTTCAATTTACGTTTGTATCAAGTTGCCTTTTCGTCAGAAATGTTTGATAATCTTCATACTGAAAATACAATCTTATCTTTATATGCAATACTATATATATATATATAAAACAATAATTTTGTGTGTGTGTGATACTGGGGATTGAACTCAGGTCCTTGCGCTTGCGAGGCAGGCAGTGTAACAATAATATTAACCTACACTACATAACTTCTTCATATTCTAGACTACATCTCTTCATCATATTTCCATATTTCCTCATTTTAAGAACAAATATATTTTTGGCTGGCCGTGGTGGCACACACCTGTAATTCCAGCACTCAGGAGGCTGAGCAGGAGGATTGTCATGAGTTTAAGGCTAATCTGGGCTACACAGTGAGTTCAAGTCCAGCCTGAACCACATAGCTAGACCCTGTCTCAAGAAATCAAAAGAAAAAACATAAAACCAGTATATTTTCATATCTCTAAAATCAGCATGTGTCTTGCTACCACTGGGAGCAGGACAGCATGTGTGATGTAGCTGTCATTTCCCATCCCCATGAGAACCTACGAATGGCTCTTCCTAGGGTATTGCTTTAATTGCATTATGTATGTTCTCCTATTCAGGTTCAATATAACTGCTATTTTAAATATTTTTAAAAGGTTATTAATACAAAAAGTTGCATTTTCATTAGAAAAGCATAGACCAGAACAGTGAGATGGAAACTGTTATTTCTGAAGCAAAATACTCATTGATAGAAAAATGTCTGCAATTTTCAATATTTTTCTTGAAGCAAGAAAACAAGAGCTTGGCAAGACCTCATAAAGAAAGCCTCTAACAAAGAAGCAAAGCTACCTTATCTTCTGTAACATCTGAGGTAACTGAAGTAACACCTGAAAAGACTGCCTGTAGCAATGATGGTGAACCTACGGCATGAGTGCCACAGTCAGTTGTTTGTTATCATTGAAAGCCCTAAAAGGTTCACTATCATTGGTCCATATCACTCTAAGCAGTATAAATGAAAAGATGAGAAACTGCCAAATCTTTTGTTTTTTGGTAGTGGGGATCAAACTTGGGACTTTGTGCTTGCAAGACAGGTGGCGGAACCACTGAGCTAAATCTCCGGCCCTAAACTGCCAAATCTTTTAGAATAGGTGACATATGGGCTGGGATTTAGTTCAGTGGTACTGCACTTGCCTCCCAAGCACAAGGTCCTGAGTTCGATCCCTGGTACAGAAAGAAAGGAGGGGGGGAGGGGAGGGGAGG